AACTTGTGTAAGTTTGCCCCCGCAAGTTACATGGGAGGCTAGGAATGGGAGGATCATGATGTTAGGCCAGATAGGCAGAAAAGGGCAGCAAAGTCTGTAAGACTCCATCTTTACAAAAGGAAGGTGGATTTGGTTGTGTGTGCCTGTGACCCCAGCAACTCATCTATAAAGTATTGCTCAGTTGTACATGTCAGAGGGAAGTGACATCCTATTTCAAAAATAACCACCACCAAACAGTATTGGAGGTATGGCTCAAGTAGTAGAGTACCAGCCTAATAAGTGTGAAGCCCTGAGCTCAAATGTCAGCACTGTACCACCACCCCTGACACCCTTACAAAAAAATGAAAAGAAATGAATCTAGGTAAGAAATGTAACAGAAATAAGTTTCTCCAACCCAAATTTTTAGGAATCCCTTATTTCTTCCTCCTTTTACTTATATTAAGATTATTTTCTTATGACAACCAATTTAATACAAAGAAATTCTGGTGTATTTTAGGTTTACTTTCACATCAAGATAAGAATTATCCAAGCACAAGAATGGGTTACATTTTATAAGTTAAAAAAGAGATAAAATAAGTAAAAATAGATAGTAAATCTCAAAATGAATGACATACTGCCATGACAGAACTTCCCACAGCAGATAGGCTTTGAGGAAATCCTATCAGAGAGGAGAGGAGAAATTAGGAGAAGTGCAACTGATCAGATGATTCATTTTCTGTAGGAATTTAATCAGTGAATAACAAAACAGGATCAGCTAGAGGTGATTACTGCTTACTTACTGGTGAGGCTGGATCAGGAACAATGATTTACTGGGTCCCTCCCTAATTAGGAAAAGTGCAGAATACATGCCTACAATTCTTTGCTTACTGGAAGAACCTGTCTGTCCTAGGAATGATGCCCAACTACTCTGTGCCTACGAGATGGTTCCGTATTTTAGCTTCATTTGCCCATGACTCAAACACATCTCCTTTTTGCCCTTAGGAATCTTGCCATACTGCCACAACATTCAATTCTGAAGCTGTTAGAAAGACAATTAGTCATTTGGTAAAACACCAAAATATTCAAATTGGTTGCAGTTACGTGTTCAGAATCAAAACCATCCCATTTGATGGGGATAATTTAAGTTCTATATTTAAAAGGCATTGAATGAGACATACTGGTAAATAAGACCCTTAAACTAACATTCATATCTCCTACATGGGAAGAATTAAATGGATAATTTCTACCGACAACGGATTTATTTCTTGTGGTAGAGAATCTTAAAGAATTGATTTAATTAACTGTAACTATGCTCAGAAGCATAATTTGAAATGCTGTTGAACAAATGAGGGAAGTATTTTCCAGCATAGGGAAAACTGTCCCAAATTTCCATTTTGTTCATTATTCAGGAAATGTTTACTAAGAACCCGCAGTTTGCATTACAATGAACAATATAATGATATTCCAACCTGCCATCCTTCTATTCTAACTCTAGTAGTTAATTGAATGTGTTAATCTCTTCAGCTGTCCATTCACAGTATGTGGGAAGGCTATAGAAATCAAATGAATGAGTCAGTATGAAAAGAAACATGGGTGCATATATTTAGGATTCTTTCTGTTTTATGAGCTAAAATGGGCTACTAGCTAACCACCATTTGTATGTCTTTAGGGGATGAGGAACTTAAAAGAATATTATCTCACTCAAGCAGTGAATTAAATGTTTAATCATGGGTTTCTAAATGTTTTTTAGATGTGAGAATAGCAATTTATGGGATTCTACAGATATGAAAGGGAAAAAGAACAATTCATTTGGGCAAATAAAGGAAACTGTATTTCAGGGATTATTTCCATTTGAAAAGAAACTTTAGACTTAATAGTATAGAATATGTTGCATATTTTAGAGATGGACATTAGAACTTATCAAGGCCATTGGTTTCAGATCTTTTACATTAGAGTCACTGGATTCTCTTTCAATCATATGGATGCTATATTTTCATTCCTAGAGTCTAATGCAGTTGGTCTCTAAGGAGCTTGAAGGAAAGGCAAGCATATACATATTTTTTAAAAGTTCTCCTACCTCCAAAGCTGAGACCCACAGCTTTAGGGCACTCTTAACATTTTTTTTGGCCCCAATACTCTAGGTTCTTGAAAGAATGCGTAGTTTGCCCAAGACCAACATAGTTTGTAAGCCTCGGATTGAAAGCTAAGACCTTAGGAGTCAAATTCCTTGTGTGGATCTCTCCTTACTAAATAAACACCACTTCTGCTTCACCCACATATTGGATGAGGAGGTTTAGTTAGCAATTATGGTGGTTACAAAGCCCAAGGTTGTTTATAATCCATGTGACAAGCAAGTCCCCTCCTCGTAATGTGTACTTTCTTGATTGCTAAGCACTAAGTCTTCAGATGGTTATAATGACACCATAATGATTAATGTATCTGTTTATTCCACATTTTTAGAACTTTAGTTATTTGAAACTTTTACATCCATAAAATCTACCATTCCCATATGGAGAAAAATAAATTCGATTTAGCAACTGAATCAATGTCAAATTTAAGTGTTTGTTACTTGGTTTATACAGTTATGTACATGCAAATATTCAGATGTCAGGAGGACTATTTTTTTTTATTTTTTTTCAGGAGGACTATTTTTGCCACCTTCCTTGTAACAGAATGCTTTTAGGTTAACCTCTTCCACTGCATTCTATGCAGATAAAAGCTCTTGTTCAACTTTACTGTCTCCTATAGCCTAGCACAATGCTTGACACATAGTCAACAGCCAATAATTAATTGGTAGTCTTCATTACATTTTATTACTCATGAAACAGTGCACATTGAATCAGCCTGGTAGGACAATCCAACATAAATAAAAGAAATGAAGAGAACAAGAACAGCTATACAAACTCATACTTTCACAATTACATTTTAAATGAGCTTTGGCTGATATTTTGATTTTTTTTTTGTTTTTTGTTTTTGGTCCGGTTGTGGGGCCTGAACTCTGGGCCTGGGCACTGTCCCTCAGCTCTTCAGCTCAAGGCTAGCGCTCTACCACTTGAGCCACAGCGCCACTTCCAGCTTTTTTCTTTTTGCTTATGTGGTGCTGAGGAATCGAACCCAGAGCCTCAGGCATGCAAGGCAAGCGCTCTACCACTGAGCCACCTTCCCAGCCCTGATATTTTGATTTTTAAATGGGCAGATTTAAAGTATAATCAGTGTCTTTTATTGGTAATACTAGATGCACTCACTATGAAGAACTACAATTATATCAAGTCTTCCATTTTTCTAGCTGGATGTGCAAGGCAAAGGGTGACATGAAATGTTTAGCCATTATTCATACCTTCTATCTCTTCAAATTCCAAGCTATTTCCAGGTAACAGTCAATATACTATTAAGCCATGCCATGTTTAGTGTTGGCCACAACTGAGATATTATATCACAGTGGGCAATGTACATAAACTAAAGGTCTCAAGGAATCCATTGAACTATTTTCTTCATTACCATGCTGCAATGTACTTCTTGCCCAGGGAAATGATACCTGGATACTAATCTAGCTAAGTAATTCAATCTACTATTTTGTTGGTTCTGTTGTACTGGCCCAATGAGTATATATATACTATAATCTACTATACTGAGTCTAAACATACATTCTCTTACTTCCCATTTTGTATTCTATGAAGTATGACTAGCTGATAAACACCCCCCCTCTTACCTATCTTGGGAACTTCTTGACCCTAACAAATCTCATCTGAATGTATACAAATGGTACAATTTGTCCTTCCCACTCCATTTGGGTTATACTTTGATCTTACATTCTTATTAAGTTACATGTTTATCTCTCTCTCTCTCTCTCTGTATATATATATATATATATATATATATATATATATATATATAGTGAAAATACCCTACAGAGGGGTTACAATTACATGTAGCTGAAGACATTGATCACATGCAGTTAAATTGATTAAATAAAATGAATTCTGAGTTTCCTCATACTGTGGGAAACACAAGCATTAAAGAATGCAGCAAAGAGTTGGATCATGTTGTGGGAGGGAATAACCTAGTTATAAAAGATAATGACTCAACCAATAGCAATTTAGAACTGAACTTATATCAACCCCAATATTTCAACACATCCAACTATCTGACCCCTTTATTTGACTCAACTACATGCCCAGATCACATATATTTGTGTCTCAATCTATGTGCACATTATACCAAGTAATAAATACAATTCTTCTTCTTTTATCTAATTCATGTAGAAATCATCAACACAAGATACCACTGACATCAGCTAAATTAACACATGCTGAAATTTTGTAAAGATGTTTCATGGGCTAAAGAAATCAATGTTAGAAATCAGCACTGGAAAAAAAAAGTACTCATCATAGAAATATTCACACCAAACCACAAATACTTTGTCTCTGCTCTATAATTGGTATAAACTAGAATGCCAGAGGAGAAACAAGGGTTCATCGTAGAGCTAACACTATTATTATTATCATTAGAGCCAATATCAATGAAGGAAAAAGACTGTAACTATGCCACAATGTTAATACCTCCTAAGTCAGACCAGCCATATAGCTGGAGTTCACTAAATGTTTTTTTTATGTGAATAAACAAGTGAACAAATGAACGAATGGCCCTCTGTAAACTTGAAATATAACACTGGCATTCAGAGAACTGGTTGTTAAACAGTTTATTAAAATCTATGTATTCATTAAGCCAGATTGGGGGAGAAGTTAGCAGTGAAGATAGTATAGTTAGTTTCTGTTTATTTATTAACTAACATGACCACAAAGCCATTATTCTTACCCTTAATTTCTCAGCTGAAAAAGTTAGTGAACTGTATCTGTTCGGTGAATAATTTGAGCTCAACTTGAAAGCAAACTCATCATGCCAAAGGTCTCCTACACCTCCAACTAACTGTGATTTATCTTTTTTGCTTCTGAAGAATTTTAAGCAACTTCCATCAAACTTGACTGACAACCAATCTGTGCTTCCTGTCTTTCTTCTCCCAGGAAGAAGATGGCACACGTGAAAGTCGTTTTAATTTCAGTGGTTATGGAATGGGTCACTGCCTCCAAGTGAAAGACGGAACAGCTGTCAAGGCTACACCTGCCAACCCGCTTCCACAACCCCCAAAAGATGCAGATGCCATCAAGAAGAAGTTTGTGGACCGGGCAAAAAGGATTGACACAATATCTCGAGCTGCCTTCCCATTGGCCTTCCTCATTTTCAACATCTTTTACTGGATCACCTACAAGATCATACGGCATGAAGATGTCCACAAGAAATAGATGTGCCCTACAGACCCTGGGAACCTTCTTGCCTAAGTGTTGTGCTTGTAAATACACAGTAAATTTGTCTTTATATCACTTTGACAGAGGAGAAGATTGAGGGAGGGGGGAGGGAGCATCATGCGGGTGGGGCTCCTGGCACCTACATGCAAAAAGACAAGTTAATATGGGGCAATGGAGAAAACTGCACAAAATTAAGGTGTTGCAGAATCATAAGAGCATAATTCCCATCCATAGTCTTTAGCATTGATTTTTCAGGTGACACATCAATCAAATGCGATATGCAGGGTCAAGTTCTTGAGGGCTGATTACCTTTTTATTTGTTTAGATTTGAATTATTGTAAAGAAAAGTTAGCTTAACACACACACACACACACACACACACACACACACAAACTTTGAAAGTACTTACCATCTGACCATAGTGATTAGTCATTAGTGAACTGAGGACCAAACTTTTTCAGGAAAATCCTGCCTCGTTTTTAAAACAAGCCTCCAGAGCTATGTTCTTTACAATGTCTGTAATTAGTGTTTCACCCAAAAAATCCTTTTGTGGGTTGTAAATTATTTGTACTTATCCAGAAAACAACAACAGCAAAAATAAACACCAATCACAAGGAACATATTTCTACTCTATCTCTATGTAGGTGTGCACTTTAATATTATGTTTCTTTCCTAGATGTAAATTTGAGATTTAACTTGTGTGTTGTGTAGTTGATTTGCTAGTATATCTTCTTACAGTAAATGCCTATTTCATTTTAGATCCAAGTTAGCACACCATGTATTTTTTTCCATTTTCACTTTATTTTTGTGTAATTTTAAGTGCCCAAGTGTGACTTAGCCATTGCAGCCACTCAGCAATCAGATTGTGTGTCCTGAATGGTATAGCTCAGATTACCTTAAACTTCCCATTTCTGCTCTCATTATAGATGTAACTACTCTTCTAGTGTGAACTGACCCATGATTTCTACTGTCAACCCAAGTGAATATTGTTTTAAATATCCTTGACTAACTTAAAGAATCTTAAAATTGTACTGTGATTTTCATAACCTGTTGCCTTTTTGGTACCAGAGCTATGTGGTTTGAATTCTGGCTACATGTTTTAAGTAAGAAAAAAAAAGACGTATTTTTGCTTACTCAAAAGACAACCTGTAAAACTATATGGAAATAATTAAATTTTACATGTGTTGTCAAAGGGGTTATTTTAAAAAAGCATTTGTTCAATTTCAATAAAGCTATGTGTGCCACAAACTTCTCTAGAGATTTTCATTTTTGCACTAAAATAATAAATTTTTCTATCTATTCTTTCTTCCTCATAAACTTGAAATACTTACACAGTTATTACATTAATGATGATTATAGTATTGCAATAAGAAAGAAATGTGCTCTTCTCATGGCAGAAATATGGAAATTGACTTGCTATGGTGAAACATGCATGCCTGTAATCCCAACACTCAGGAACCTGAGGCAGGAGGGTCACAAGTTCAACATCAGCTTGGACTGCACAGTAAGTTCCCAGGCTAGTCTATGTGAGACTCAGATAGATAGATAGATAGATAGATAGATAGATAGATAGATAGATAGATAGATAGATAGATAGATAGATAGATAGATAGATAGATAGATAGATAGAAGATAGATAGATAGATAGATAGATAGATAGATAGATAGATAGATAGATAGATAGATAGATAGATAGATAGATAGATAGATAGATAGATAGATAGAAATGCAGAAAGAATTACTAGTAGTGATTTTGGGCAGAATTTGAAATAGATACTGGGTATGAAGCATGGAAAAGCACTAAACATACTTAGAAATAATATACTCTTAAAGTGAAAGATCAACTATTCCATTTATTAGTCCTGATTTTGTCAGGATTGGCATTCCAAGAAGAATGAAAAATTCTTACAGCCAAAGTGAATAGAAATAACTCATTTTAACCCTTGGAGATTTTCCTTAACCAAAGAGATTCATCATCATGTTTGCAAGATGCAGATTTACAAATCAGTATTTACAACCTTCTAAACCTATTCAAATATTGAATCATTTCCATACACAGAAACATTGCAGTGTGACTACAAATATGAACGATGGAGATAGAAAGTAGCTTAGCCATCTACCAAAAGTGTGATGTTGGATGAAGTATGTTAACTTCTGTGATTAGTTCCTGTTTCATGGCATTTCCAGAGGATTGATTTGGGAAAATAAAGTCAAATCCATTAGCACTGTGCCTGATGCATTGTAAATTCTCAAAACATTAATAGATAATCAAGTAACTACTATATAAATCACACTGTTAATCCTTTGAACAAGAAACATTAGAATGGCTAACCTTGGAAAGTTTAATCCATGCTTTTGGCATCATGCCTTATGTTTTACTCTATGTTCTACCTTATTTCTCAACTCTTTTCCTAACAAATAAGATGAAGTATTTACCTTTTGCTCTCATTTCTTCTGCTGCTTCAAAATAATAAGATTGAGGATAAAATACCATCCAAAATGGTCCTGACCTTAGAAATGTCCTAGGAAAAAACCCTGGCACTACATACGGCAGGATGAAGAGGCACTTTGGGAAGGTCAAACTAAGACAAATGGTTATATTTAATCAATATGTTTACCATATAATTGTGGGTATGGTTCAGTTCTCCCACTAAAAAGCTTAAAATATGTCTGCCAGACACTCAAGTAGACAAAGACATTCTAGAGGTATAAGGGCTTCTGAACTTTTCTATGGTTCTAGCCTATATTCAGCATTAAATAAATAAATAAATAAATGCACCACATTGAGTCTTACAAATCAGATAAAATCTCGGAGAAAACACCTGGAGTACAACATAGACTAGTGGCTAATTCCCCTATAATGATATTGGAGATCTTATTTTTCTTTCACAATACTACATGAAAGAAAATAGTTTAAGAGCAATATCATGGTTTGATGAAGAACACTTTATTACCAGTTTTCATTACACTGAAAGCTTCTGGAAAAAAAAGTGATCATGCTTTCCTGCGTTCTCTGTAGTGTGGGGGAGCTTATAATGCCTAGTCGATATTAGAACTAACACCAGTAAAATGAGTGAAGGAAGTTCTGCTGTGCTTGCTGATAAAGTTATATGAATTTCCCCTATTCAGAAATTGTATAACTATCCACAGCCACCATTTTTTTTGCACAGTGGATTACTAGGGGCTTTGCCCTTGCACGTGTTTTGATTTGTACCATTTGCCTCTAAGAATACATCAGAATGATTTAGGCTTGAGACTCTTTATGGCTTTTTCTGTTTAGTCCTAAACAGATACTACAAACCAGATTAGCTGTAGATTTTTTTAAAATCCTTCCAAACATTGTTAGCATTAATATCCTTGTCTTTGCCATTGAGGGCAACTGCCACATTCTGGAAGCAAAATTGCCAATAAAGATTTAATGAATATCATTTTACATTTCACTTACTCCATTAATATCAAATAAGAAGGTTACAACCAAAACACAGTATAAAATTCCATATCATGCTTCTCAGCTTTGGGAAAGAAAAAAATCTATTTAGGACTTTTTAAGACTGTATTTCCTAGTTTAAGCCTGAAGCCAACTTGTGGGATGGTTCTAAATCCTATGTCTTATACTCATAAATTCTTTCAACTTCTACTTTAAGCTTTTTATTATGTTTACCAATTTTTTTCTTTTTAAAGTATAATTTTACTGATTCAAGAAATATGTGTTCTTCACTGCTTACAAAATCAAATAACTAAAGCTAACACCACAACCTCCTTTTCAGCATGTTGTGTTGTTTTATTTGTTTGTGCTGGTACTGAGGTTTGAATTCAAGGCCTGGCCACTGTCCCCTAGCTTTTTTGCTCAAGGCTGGTTGGTACTCTACCACTTGGCCCATAGCTCTTCTTAAAAATCTTTTTGGTAGTTAATTGGACATAAAAGCCTCATCGGCTTTCTTGCCTGGGCTGGCTTCAAACTGTGACTCTAAGATCTCAGCTTCCTAAAGGGCTAGAATTACAGGTATGAGTCATCAGCAGCAACCAGTTTTTGATTCTAACTGCCATCCAATAGAGCCAGATCACAAAGAGTCAATGTCTACCCTTTAATCAACAGATAAACAGAAGCCTTATGAATTAAATATCTTGTCTCATATTAGTTTGTATATCCAGCACAATTTGATTCTTAACCTCTAGCTACATGCTTTCACTATAATCTACAATGCCTAAGAAAGAAAAACCTTGTAAATACAAAGGTATAGAATCACAAGCCAATCTTCACAGATGACAAAAAATTGGAAAAGAAGGCAAAATATAGAATACTTGCACTGAAAATGAATAATAGAAATAGCACAAAATTTTACATGCAACATTAAGAACATCTATTCAGATTCTTATGTGAATGAATGGTCTAAAAGATTCTAGGGTTGAAAAAAAGACCAACAGGATTTAAGCTGACAAGTATTTATTCTCATTGTAAAGGAAGCAGAATAACTTTCATTTTATTACACATGTACCCACCTAAGAAAAGCTGTGGTCTTCTCACTGTGATGCAAATGCATTTTAAAATAACAAATAATATATTTTCCCCCAGCTGAAAGTAGTGTGGATATGAAAGTTTTAAACTATGAGCCAGCATTTACAAAGTACATTATCATGCTGGCACAAATGAATCATCAATAAGTTAGTGTACTTTCAAAGAGAAGAGTAAAGCTCTGAAGCACACATTGTGAGGTATGTAATACACTGGTCTGCATCACACAGGGGCCAGGGCTGCTCCAAAATGGATAGATAAGTTTTCAAGGCACATGGCCTTGTTAGACGATCCAGGTCCTCAAAAGTGATGGAATGGAGTAAAAGAACATCCCTTTCTATTAAGGATCAGACTAACCAAGGATTTATCAAATTCAGTGGTATATCCTTTCTCAAAACCATCACTGCTTCTTAAGGAGAAAGACTTAGTGGCAGAGGAATGAGAAATGAAGAAGAAATAAAGGATAGAAAACAAAAGTTTCCTTTTAAGACATACACCAAAGCAGATCAGTCTGCATTAATCTCCAGTGGCTCCCATGCAAGAGTCCTCATTGTGTCCACATGATTTGGCTTTACATCCCATCACCCATGTCCTTC